CATTAGGGACTGAAGCCACATTTAGTGCATGCTACATGCTTTATAAATCTGCTATATCCACAGCTCTATTTTTATTTTAAAAGAATTTATTACATAGCAAGATCCAGGCCAGCTAGGTCTACATAGAGAGATCTTGTCACACGTTCATCCCACTGCCCCCCAAATTAAAAAAAAAAATATATTGTATCACATCCCAAATGCTAAGACTGCAGATATATGGACCAACCCAGTTTAAAACAGCCTTTAAATACTGTAAACACAAACACAAATATGCTGACCAATCTTGTGTTCTCTAGGGTTGGGGCTGAAGGTACTGTTCTTCTGATGTAAGAGCTGGAATAGGCAGAATTGCCATGTAAAAGAAAAATGCTGTGTTCATACACAGGTTTATCAGATCTCAGTATGGGGCTGGGTGTGGTTATCCACACCAGTAAAGCTAGTACTCCAGAGCTAAATACAAAAGGTTCAAAAGAAAAGTCAGAGGCTAGCTTGGCAGATAGAGATTTTGAGGCTGGTCTATGCTGTTATGGCTAAAGCAGCTTTTATGCTAGGCATCCATCTTGGTACCCACCAGCCTTTTGTCTGACTCCAAATCCAGGAAGATAAGTTCACAGTAATCCTGACTCAGTGACCCCCAACTCCAAAATTCTGTGACTATCTACTTGTTGTGATATGAGTAACTTTTTTTTTTTTTTTTTTGCTTCTGTATCTTGCTTACGCAGCTATCCAAAGATTGTTTTGAGTTGCCTTAGTTACTTAACTTGGCAGAAATAACAGTTCTTACTTTGTTGCATAGATACAGAAGGTCTTCATGTGGTTTCTTTCCTCCTTTAAAAGTCCTCACTCACACCCCTCCTTCATGGCAATCTCAAGTTTGGCTCAAAGACTGTTCATCCTGCTAGCAGTTAATCTTTTAATCATATTTGGGTTGAGTCTATGATCCTTTCCATAACAGTACATACTAAGGTACTATTTAAAATCTGAGCCAAAAACAAATAGTATACAGGATCTGTCAGTGGACAATTCTCCTATAATTCTGGGAGAGGTTGATACAGAAGATGAAGAATTTGAGGCCCTAACTAAAGAAAGAAACAAAAACCCAGCTAATCAACTCTTCCACAAACAAGCAAAGAAATATACAAGCAGTATATAGGACTGAGATGTCCTCAGGGTAGAATGCTTACCTAACATGAACAAAGCCTTGAGTTTGATTCTTAGTGCCTGCTATACAGTTTATGTATTGCCACAGTCATAATTTACCTTAAGAATGATAAAAGCAGCCAAGTGATGATGGCACACATCTTTAGTCCCAGCGCTAGTGAGGCAGAGGCAGGCTTATCTCTGTGAGTTCAAGGGCAGCCTGGTCTACAGAGTGAGTTCCAGGACAGCAAAGGCTACACAGAGAAACCCTGTCTCGAAAAAACAAACAAAACAAAAAGAATGGTAGAAGTAGCTGGGCGTGCTGACACACATTTATAATTCCAGCACTTGAGAGGTGGAGGCATGAGGAAGACCAAAAGATGAAGGTCATCTGGCTACCACTGAATTTGAGGCCAGCCTTAGATACATGAGACCCTGCCTCTAAAGCAAAACAAAATGTAAAAGTAAAATGCTCTCCTTTCAGCTTTTACCTGTTATGAAACTTAGTATGTATGATAAGGGAGATAGCTAAAGGATCTGAGAATGCCAGTGTGGTAGATACTGCAGCCACTGCCTCTCAAGTGGAAGGGTACTGCAGGGAATTATTTCAAGTCAAATTTAAATATTGTCCCTCTTCAGCTCAGGTGCTGCTATTAAGAGAGCTAAGCATCACTTATCATCTACACTTGTTTATTCCTGGAGAGAACATTTGCAAATCACAGTGGCACTTTTAGAGCCCTTGAGAAAAAGTCAATCTTTGAAAAAGCAAATGTTCTGACTGGAGCTGAGCATGAAAGCCTTGCATAAAAAGATCACAGTGCAGAATCAGAGTCTAGCTCTTTAGTGAGTATTGTTAAAATATCTCTTCTTTAACTTTTATAAATAATTTTAAACAGCTACTGATTTTTAAAAACATTTTATTAAAAAAGTTTTATGTGTATGGGTGTTTTGCCTGCATGTTTGTGTACTATGTGTATTAAGTGCCTAAGGCAGGCAGAAGAAGGCCAAAGATCTCCTGAGACTGGATTTATAGATGACAATTGCCATGTGGGTGCTGGGATTTGAACCAGGTTCTCTGCAAGACTGAGACATCTCTCCAGGCCCACTTTTAATTTTTAATCAAACAAGGCAAAATATTTAACTATTTACCCCCTTCTTGTTCTTCACATTTTCCTCTGACAAGGATGTTCTGAGGCAAGAAGTCCCAGAGATGCCTTCCCCAGTTCCTGACAAGCAGGAAAGAGAAGAGTTGCTTCTTTGGATTAGTTTTTGGGGATTCCCAAACATTACTAGCAAATGAAACCAGATGAGTGAGTCTTAGTCCCCCCCAAAATTATAAGCAGTCTGTTAATGCTTGTGATTCAGTCAGGAGGGTAGTTTTAATTATTAGTTTGCTAAAGAAAATAACATCAGAAGCTACACCTGTGAAGTCCCACCAAATGACTGTGCAAATATGAGCTGAACAATGAGGACAGCAACAAATGTACCAAACTATACAGGGATAATAACTTTGAGGGGTTCAACCCTACACAAAGAATGTCAGGCAACTAAATAAAGCTGGAGTAGCAGGGCTGTCCTCAGTGAAGAACATACTAATTGGTTGTCTAGTGCCAAACAACCCTGAAAACATACACACAAGTAACATTATATGGACCCAACAGGTTATGTATATACAAATACATATATGCATGCAATAACAACTGGCAAAAAAAAAAGGCCATGAATTTGAAAGAGAGTTGGGAAGCATATATGTGAGAGGATTTGAGGTAGGAAAGGGAAGGAAGAAATGTTGTAATTAAAATACAATATACAATCTCAAAAATAAACAACAAAAAGGATAAAATAAAGACTATCCATACCAAAAACAACAAGCTTGTCTATTTTGTGAGCTACCTAAATGAACATATGCAAGTATTCCTCTACATCAAGTACTATGCACATTTCAGTTCTAAGGCGTGGAGATGTTCTAAAATAAGCTATGGGGCTGGAGGGACAGCACTTGCTGCTCTTTCAAGGACCTGAGTCCATTGGACCCAAGCACTTAGATTGGATGCCTTACAACTACCTGCAACTCCAGCTTCAAGGGATCCAATGCCCTTTTCTGGCCTCTTTGGGTACCTGCACACGTGGCATACCCATATAGACACATACAGATCAATAAAAATCTAAGAAGAAAACAAAAACAAAAACCCCAAAAGCAAAAGAGGTGTTTTTCTTTTTTTCTTTGAGATAGGGTCTCATGTATCATATGATACATGTACTGAGATATTATATCAAAAAACACAAACCAAAAAGTATACAGGGGCTGACTGTGGTATGTATTTCTGCAGTATTCTTTTTCTTTCTGTTTTTTTTTTTTTTTTTTTTTGCTTTGTTTTGGTTTTTTGGAGACAGGGTTTCTCTGTGTAGCTTTGGCTGTCCTAGAACTTACTCTGTAGACCAGGCTGGCCTCGAATTCAGAGATTCACCTGCCTCTGCCTCTTGAGTGCTAGGATTAAAGGCATGTGTGCCACCACTGACCCATCATGCACATGGTTATAAAACAAGCTAAACCAATCCTAAAAACAACAAAAGCTGGTCTGGAAAGGCCAGGGATGCAGATTAGTGGCAGAGTTTGTATGTTTAGAACATGTGAAGTCCTGGCCTCATCACAGGAACAAAAGAAAAGAAACCAAAACTACAAAAACTGCTCTGGAGCCAGACATGGTGGCTTATGTTTGTAATAGCAGCTTAGGGAGGCTAAGTAAGACAGGACTGTCATGAGTTCCAGGCCAGCATGGGCCAGAGAGTGAGTGAGGAAGACAGTCTTGTTTGTTTTGAGACAGGGTTTCTTTTTGTGTAGCCTTGGCTGTCCTAGAACTAGTTCTGTAGACCAGGCTGATGCCTCAAAAGAAAAAAAACAAACAAACAAACAAAAAACAAAAAAAGAAAAAAAAAGGGGGTGCTCTTTGGCACAATGGTTGCCTAGCATGCAGGTGGCCCTGGGTTTGATCCCCAGCACCTCAAACCATGAAGGTTATCCTCAGTTACACAGTGAATTTGAAATTAGCCTGGATAGGCTATTTGAGATCCTGTCAAGAAAAAAGTAAAACAAAACAAAAAATACAACTACCACCAAAAAGAAAAAAAAAAGTCAAATGACAAAATAAAACAAAAAACTCACAGAAATAAAATGAGTTTAACATTTCCTTTTAAGGGCCTACAAGGTACTAGGATAGCCAGAGCTTTGGGCAATTTTGAAATCTAAACTACTAGGCATATATCCCAAAGTCAGTGACCAGGGTCCCTCACACATTTACACTCTCAAGCTGAATCAAATTTGACAGGTGGAAAGCCTATGCCTTCTCTAATTATCCATTTGTGCTTCCCTTTGTTTCTATAAATGCCACAGTTAGCTTGATAGTATATTTTCTAGCTAGAACACAGGGAGATCAAAATAAAAACCAAAACCTACCCCATGCTGGAAATACTCAAGCAGCAAGATATCTAAATGAGAACAGGGAGTTTTGCTGTACATAAGCTATTGTCGTTTCAAAGACACAGGATGAACAGATGTATTGTTCAGAAAAGGCCAGTTTTTTAAATGCTTAAAAGAATTTGGTCCACATATGTCAGAGAACACAAATGCAGTGCTATTTTTTGTAACCCAAGTTTTCTGTCTGTGTTAGCTGGATCCTGTAGGATAGCTTCACATCATTATGTTTCATTAACTAGGATGGGAAGTGATTTTTTTTAAATCTGAGGCAGTAAGTATTTAACCAAACTATCAAGTTGTCTACTTCAGCAATACATAGAAGGTTCTGGCATCAAGTAAGTGAGGAGTCAAAGTCTCAGCAGTTAAAAAAAAAAGTACTTGCCAGTTTGAAAGTCACAGACAGTTTACTGTTCTATAATTAGATAAAGAGAAAAAAGAAGAACCCTTGGGTAGCAGGAATAATCAAGAGTCTTCCACAGTCTGGTATCTGCAAGGAAATGAGAAAAAAGTTTTTACTTCCTTCAATGACAGAAGTACTAACTACATCTGACCACAGTTCACACAGAAATTTACTGTTAGCTATAAGACACTGAGTACCTGATGATCCTCTCCTCTTTAGTACCCCTGTGTACATGGAAACTTGCTAATTGAATTAAAAACATTCTTCACAGTCATCAACATGCATTCCTTGTGTCTAGAGTTTCACAAGTGAGACTGACTTTCTAGGCAAATGACTACTTTGAACAATTCTGAATGAATTCTAACTAACTTACGTTGGTATTTTTCCTCTCAAATACTCTATTACTCATTAATTTAATAGTATTGATGTGAGTATACAGAAGCTTAAAAATTACATCCATTCAGGGCTGGAGAGATAGCTTGGCAGTTAAGACCATTTGTTGTTCTTGTAGAGGAGGACCCAGGTTCAATTCCCAACACTCACAAGATGGTTCATAACCATCTGTAACTCCACTTCCAAGGAATGTGATACCCTCTTCTGACCTCTATGGGCACCAGGCATGCATGTGGTAGACACATATACATTAGGCAAAACATTCACAAAATAAAAATAAGTTAATTTAATAAAAATTTAACAATTACATTTAGTGTGTGAGTGTGAGTGTGTGTGTGTGTGTGTGCATGTACTTGCACAGCTGTTAGAGGACACTGTTTTGGGAAACAGTTCTTTCCTTCTAACAAATGGATCCCGGGGATAGAGCTCAGTCCCTTAGGCTTGGAAGCAAGAACCTTTACCTACTGGCCTCTCACCTCTCCTTTTTTGAGAAGAGTTTCATGTAAACTAGGTTGTCCTTAAACTCAATAGCCAAGGTTGATCCTCTTGTCTTCACTTCCCAAGTGCTGGGATTACAGGCTTGTGCTATTATGCCCAGCTTTTCATACTTGGTCCTTAAGGAAAATCGTATCTTCTATTTCTTTGTACCCTTCCACTTTAAAGCTTAAAAAATAAAGTTTTTTTTTCATTGAGGGGATTAAGAAAAAGCTGTATGTATTTGTGCAAACCTGTAATCCCAGCATTCATAGAGGCTGAGGCAGAAGAAGCCTGCATTTGAGGTCAACTTTGGCCTAAATAATCTACATGCTATCTTAAATAAAAAAGGGAATTATACAGAAAAAGAAATTCATCACTAAGAGTGTGTAATAGCACTATAACAGTTAAGTTAAAAAGCCAAAGTACTAGAGGATACCAGATACCTTCACTCCTGGTAGCCAGGAGACAGAGAAAGGTGGATCTCTATGAGTTGGAGGCCAGCCTGGTCTAGTTCCAGGGCAGCTAGGGTTACATAATAAAGAGACCTGTCGCAAATGGGGAGGGGTGAGTGGGAAGGAATTTCTTGCCTAAATCTTCTAATTTTTCATTATAGAGCTGTTTTTCTTATTTACTAGATAGCTATATACTGTATGATTATTAGACATCTTGTGAAACATATTAAAAGAGTAATTCAAAGTTTGTGGTGATAATCTTGTTTGTACAAATAAAGCTTGCCTAATGATCAGAGGGTGGAGCCAGCCACTAGCTAACCATAGAGGTTTGGAGGTCTGTACAGACAGACAGGAAGTAAGGTGGCTGGACAGAGAGAGGAATATAGGTGGGAGGAGACAGGAACTTGGTCTCTTTCAGTTTAAGGATTTCAGTTTAAAGCTCTAGTGGCTGTTTGCTTCTCTGATCTTTCAGTTTTCACCTCCCAATATCTGACTCTAGGTTTTTGTTATTAAGACCAATTAGAACTTGTGTTAAAAAACTTCACTGTTTATCCAGATCTGTTCAATGTATTCTTTCTGATACACCTCAGTACTGCACTGTCTCTCCTGGGGCCAAATTTCATTTTCTGGTTTCTAGATACAAGTCTACCAAGCTGGGCAGACTGAGGTTAGCCTAACGTGCAGAGCAAATTCCAGGACAGGCAGGGCTAAACAGAAAAATCCTCTCTCTCTCTCTCTCTCTCTCTCTGTCTCTCTCTCTCTCTCTCTCTCTCTCTCTCTCTCTCTGTGTGTGTGTGTGTGTGTGTACCTACCAAAAGTGGCCAATTGCTAGAAAAACCTAAATATTTAAAAAAATTATTTATTTTCCTTTTATGTACATTGGTGTTTTGCCTGCATGTATGTCTGTGTGAGGGTGTCAGAGCCTGGAGTTAGAGAGTTGTGAGCTGCCATGTGGGTGCTGGGAATTGAACCTGGGTCCTCTGAAAGAGCAGTTAGTGCTCTTAACTGATGGGGAAGGTCCTTCTGTATATAAGTTTCTCTTATTGGCTGATGAGTAAAACACTGGTCAGTAGCCAGGCAGGAAGTACAGGCAGGGCTACCAGAAGAGAATTCTGGGGAGAGGAGGCAGAGAGAAGTGGATAGAGAGGCATCATGTAGCTGAGGAAGGAGTAATAGATCTGGGATTCTCCAGTAAGATAAAACCAATGTGGAAATAGATTAATAGAAATGGGTTAATAATTAAGAGAGAGCTAGCCAATAAGAAGCCTGAGCCACCGGCCAAACAGTTTATAATTGATATAAATCTTTGTGTGTTTATTTGGGAATAAATGATTGTGGGACCAGGTGGGAAAGAAACTCTGCTACAGCTGGGCCACCTCTTCAGCCATGAAATTAAAATTGATAAATCTTATTGCTAATGACTAAAGGGTGCTTTCTTTTATTATTATTGAACACTTTAAAATTTTTTTTTTTTGAGACAAGGTCTCACTATGCAGCTCTGTCTACAATTCACATTGTAGATGAGGCTGGCCTTTAACCCACAGAGATCTGCCTGCTTCTGCCTCTCAAGCACTAGAATTAAAGGTATGCAACTACCATACCTGGCTATTTATTACTACTACTACTACCCCATTATTATTATCATCATCATCATCATCATCATCATCATCATCATCATCGAGACAGGATCTCTATATAGGCCTGACTGTCCTAGAAGCATGCTGTGTAGATCAGGCTTGCTTTGAACTCAGAGATCCTCTTGCCTCTTAACTGTCTGAGTGCTGTGTGACACCGTGCCTGGCTGGGTGTTTCCACTTAGCTTTTATAACTTATCAGAGGAAAACATTATGTCTGGTACAAGATTCATCTGCTTCAGTTTAGATAGGGACTGGACAGCAACAGACCAATCCCTCATTTATTTGATAAATATTCATTGAAGGACTGCTATCTGCAAGACAGCTGAAACAGAATCCTGTCCCAGCTTCCTGAAGTTCCTCTGCCACCAGCAGAAGGGCTGGGCAACCTCAGGCAAGATAGTTAAGCTTAGCTTTACCACCAGCACACAAAAGGGCCTCCAGGAAAGATTTCATGTAGGAAAAGTAAAGGATTTTGATTTCTTCACAGAGATTTTTGTGAGGTTCTACACTTATTACTACTAGGTAATATCAACAATGCAATTTTTTTTTTAAAAAAAGATATTATTTATTTATTTTGTATACAGTGTTCTGCCTACAAGTAGGCTACACCTGCAGGCCAGAAGAAGGCATCAGATTTCATTACAGATGGCTGTGAGCCACCATATGGTTGCTGGGGATTGAACTCAGGACCTCTGGAAGAGCTCTTAACCTCTGAGCCACCTCTCCAGACTCCTAGTACAAGACTCTTAAGAGACCCAAAACTTAAATGCTCATTAAAAAGTGTGATTTTTTTTTAAAATGGGAATTAAACAGTATTGCATAGAGAAAGATTTCAGAGCAGTGAAGCACGGGTGTTTAATTTATCTCAGTCCATTACAAAAGGCAGGATAGATCTAGAATGCAACTTTGATGTCAAACAAAAAGGCAATATGTACTAACATCAGGGAAAAGAACTTAGCATAGTAATAAAATTTTAAGTAGTAAATGCCTATTCATTAGCCTGTAAAGCCATTATAGAGACTATATATGTAAAACACACACACAAAGCTTTAATTTAGTATCATCTGGAAGAAATTGGACTCAAATTGCTTTATGTCCAGTTAAATCTTGCTACCATCTGAAGAGATAGTAAAATGAAATACTTACTTGAGAAAGATGTTCAGTTACTGTGCATTTCCATCTATAAGAATAAACATTTAAAAATAAATATACTATGTCAATTGAAATTCATTCCACCCTCAGTGCTTTCTAAACACAAATTTAAACACAAAATACTTTATTTTTCTTTTTGGTTTTTTTGAGATAGGGCTTTCTGTAGCTCTGGCTGTCCTGGTCTCAGTAGACCAGGCTGGCCTTGAACTCACAGAGATCCACCTGCCTCTGCCTCCTGAATGCTGGGATTAAAGGTGTGTGCCACTGCTGCCTGGCATAAACATAAATTACTTATTCCTAGGATATATGGGGTAGTAATAATCTTAAAGCAAAATTCAAAATTAATGATTTGATTCCACTGAGAATCATGGGAAAAGAAAACAGTCTTGGCAGGCAGTGGTGGCACACCTGTCTCTGCTTCCTGAGCACTGGTATTAAAAGCATGCACCACCATACTCAAGTTTTAATTTCTTGTTTGTAACCAGACATAGAAGTATCGTGGAGTGAGTGAGGTGCTTTGAACACAAAATTTACAGAGTCACACTTCCTTTCAGCATCTTTCAGCATCAGGCTTAACATACCTAAATAATTAAAGCAACTGTTTTTGTTACAATGAAGAGAGTAAGAATATTTTGACCTCTATTTCACTTACTATTTTTCCATGGCAGGACATAGGGTAGAGACTTGGGAACTCGCATGCCTGAAGCCAGGTTACTCTTATGTTCCATAACTATGTTGTTTGCAGGACTGGAAAAAATAAAAGGGAATAATTTTATGTCATCATACCAATATTCTTCAGGCACACACACAAGACAATCAAAATGTGTTTTTAAGTGGTGGAAAGCAACCATTCATCTGAAATTTAAGTATAGTTCTTTTTATTTAGAAAAGAGGAGATGCCGATGGAGGATGGGGGATGTCCTTCTATTCATATGTTTCTGAATATATGTTATGAATAAAACACTGATTGGCCAGTAGCCAGGCAGGAAGTATAGGTGGGGCCACCAGATGAGCCACCAGGGGGATGCCATGTAGCAACTGGGAAGATAGGATGCTGGGAATTCTCCGGAGGAGGAGGCCATGTAGAAATACATAGATTAATAGTTACGGGTTAATAATTAAGAGAGCTAGCCAGTAATAAGCCTAAGCCATTGGTCAAATAGTTTATAATTCATATAAGTCTCTGTGTATTTATTTAGGGCTAAATGGCCATGAGACGAGGTGAGACAGAAACTCCTAACAATTCTTCACTTAGGCTGATTACCATTTCTCTGAAAATGTTCTTTATGACATATGTACATTAAGATGGGGTTAACTTTGTTTGTACACACCTTTGATCCCAGCACTTAGGAGGCAGAGGCAGGCGGATCTTTGTGAATTAGAGGCCAGCCTGGTCTACAGATTGAGTTCCAGGATAGGCTCCAAAGCAATACAGAGAAACCCTGTCTTGAAAAAAAAAATAACAAAAACAAAACAACAAAAAAGCAGAGCAAAATAATAACAAGATGGAGTTAACTGTTTACATTTACATTTTATAGAAATATCAATGACATCTACTGGTCATTACCACTGTTAACAAGACAGATTTGTCTATTCATGGCTGGAACTCCATATACCAGGCTGCTGTCAAACTCACAGATTTGTTGGCATTTGTCTCCTGAGTGAGTGCTCAGATGAAAGCTATTTCCCACCATGCTGGGCTGCAACAGATCTCTTCATAAATTATAATTTTTATGTATATGCATGTCTTGTCTACATGTATGCCCATGCACCACTTGTGTGCCTAGTGCCTACAAGAGGGCAGTGGAGGCTGTTGGAGTCCCCTGGAGCTGGAGTTACAGAGAGTTGGGAGCCAGTATTTGAGTTAAAGGAATTGAACCTGGGTCCTCCGTAAAAGCAGTCTGGAGCCATCTCTCCAGCCCCTGTAATAAATCTCTTAAGAACTGAAGTTGCCACAAAAACTAATCTGTTTTTGTTATTGACTCAAAATAGTATGCATTTATTAACTGACCTCAGTAACTAAGAAGTGAAAAAAAATTAAGTATTTTAGGAGTGTTGGAACTAAGCTCTGGTCCTTTAAAGGGCAACAAGTGCTCTTAACCTGATTCTGGAAAAAAAAATTCCATTTGGGTCACGGTGTATGAATGCATGTGCACATCATAGCATGCATGCAGAGGCCAGACAACAACTTGTAAGTCTGTTTTCTTCTTTCACTATGTGGGTCTTGGAGGCCAAACACAGGTGTCAGGCACAGATGCAAATAAATGCTTGTACTCATTGAGCTGTCTCACCAGCCACAGGATTTGTTCCCTACCCCAGGCATCGGTTATCTAGGGTAAAAATGGTCTAATTATTATAACTGGAGAACTTTTTCCAGTCTTAGAACAATGCTAACCCAGCAAAAATAACAACAAAGAAAAAAGCCCCAAACAATTAAAATATAAGAATATCAGGCAATATTGCTTTTCTTATTAGATTATATTTCCAGTACAAAGCCTATGATTTTATGGATCAAAAGATAAGTAAAGCTTACAGTTAAGAGCACTTGCTGCTCTTGCAGCACACTGTAGCTTGCTTCCCAGTGCCCATGTCAGGTGGATCACAGCCACCCTATCTCTAGCTCTCTAGCTCCAGGGTATTTGACAACCTCTTGTGCCAACACACACACACATTTGGCAACTGTGAGGATAGCCTCTCTTTCAAAATAAGAAAAAAGCCCTTACTAAACAGTATTTGTACTAGGTTATCATCAAGAATCCTCATCAAGGAAAGATGGTGGCTTGTGTTATTATTATTATTATTATTATTTTTTTTTTTTGAGACATGGTTTCTCTGTGTAGTTCTGGCTGTCCTGGAACTCACTCTGTAGATCAGGCTGGCCTAAAGCTCAGAGATTTGCCTGCCTCTACTTCTCTTGCTGGAATTAAAGGTGTGTGCCTCCACACCCAGCTCTTAATATTTTTTTTTGATTTGGGGTAGTAGTGAGGCAAGAAAGACCATTTACTTTACCTGTTGTTGCCACAGAAGTTGGCTGTGCCCCAGACAAATGGGGTGCTAGTCTGTTCCCACAGATCTGCCAAAGGAAACAAGACAGTTTGTGATACTACAAAAACAAAACAAAAAAACCAACCAAACAAAAAACAAATAAACCCCGAAACACCAACCCATGTTCGTTGAATCTGTCAGATGGGAAATAATATAGCTAAGTTTTGAGGAATGTTAAGTGAAAACTGACTGAGTGTCCTGCCCAAGTAATATAGACGCAGGAATTTAACAACTGCAGGGTAAAAAAAAAAAACAAAAAACGTAAGAGCCATAAATAATAGTAATCATACTTAGTAACAATTACACACAGATGGTACAACAGGACTTATGGGGAAAACAAATGTAAAGAAATGTTTCTTTACTGGGTGCTGGGTGTCGGTGGCACATGCCTTTACTCCCAGCACTTGGGAGGCAGAGGCAGGAGGATCTCTGTGAGTTCAAGGCCAGCCTGGTCTACAGAGCGAGTTCCAGGATAGGCTCCAAAGCTACACAGAGAAACCCTGTCTTGAAACAAAACAAAACAAAGCAAAACAAAAGAAATATTTCTTCTACTCAAGGGGATAGGCTGCTATATGTGTTTGCACAGTGATACAAATGTGCTCATTTGGGGCCCCTAAAATAATAAGGCATTCCAAACAACATGGTATGTTCAAAAAAGAAAATTTTCCTTCGGTCTTAAGCAAATGATGGGAGATCTAAATATATGAAAAAAAAAAAGAGGGGCATCTCACCTTTATCCCAGTCTTCATCACAAGGAGGGCACTGCCATGTGCTCTCAGTCAGAGTCTCTTGTCCAAGGTTCCTGGTTTGGTTGACTGCAAGACAACAGAGATTTGACATACAAAGAAAGAAAGGGGAGGAGGACCAGCTAGGTTATTCTGTTTAAGGGGGATTTAAGGCCTTTAAAGGCTGCAGGGTAGTCTATCGAGTCTTTGTTTCTAAATACGGATAGGATGAAAGCTGATAGGAACAAGAAGCAGAAACAAAGACCATTACCATATTTATGGCAATAACAGGATTATTAATTTACTGAGACAAGGTCTCAAACTCAAAGATGACCTTCAGGTCCTCCTGCTTCCACTTCTTAAGTTCAGGGATTATAGGTCAGTGCCACCAAGCCTATGATTTTCCTGGCACAGAGCTAGAACCCAGCTTTTTCCGTGCGAGGCAAGTGGTTGGAACCACCAAGCTCTATCTTCAGCCTCAAGGACTTTATTTTTAGATGATTTATTATAATAGTAGAAGAGAAAACAGTCTGACCTATATAAGAATCTAACAACTTACTGTTACAATGACATAACCATCTCAAAGGCAGAAAAATGATGAAAGCCAGAAAACAAGCTGATGATGTAGCATAACTAAAAATTGACTGGCTAACCCCCAGTACTGGAACACTTTAGCCAGCTAGTCAGGCTTACCCACATCCTGCTCAATACAGCTTTTGTCATCACAGCTTGAGATGTGATGACTGATTTCAGCCCGGGGAACCTGGTGCCGAGCATTGAAGGGACAAGTAGCCAATTTGTTTGCCACATCAGGATGATTCTGTGGAATCAAAATTAAGGGATCTATTAATATTTTGGAACTCAAAATCCACAGAAACTAGCTCAGCCTTTTTCTATAAATGCCTCAGTGAAATCCCTCAGCAAATTTTAATGTCTCAGCTGTGGTGGACACATTCAGCCATGGTAGGCAACTCATCACAGAAACCTAAGAGGGAATTATTTATCACCCACACAGACCATGAAGCTACCTACTATCTCAGAAGCATCAAAATGCGCGCGCGCGCGCACACAGACACAGACACACACACACACACACACACACACACACACACACACTCACCCTCTCCCTCCCCCCCCCCCCCACTCTCTGGGATTTTAGTGGCATATAAAGAGCAAAGCAGTTAGTTTGAGCCATCTCTTCTCCAGCTGTCAGACAGCACAGCCTGCAATGCTGGAGCTCTCTGGGTGTCTTTGAAAGCTGACATTTAGGATCAACACTAACAATCAAACAGTGCACTGCAGCAGAGCCCTGCTATTGCAATGTGACAGTGCTGACAATCAGGGAGCTGTAGAGACAAGCTAACAATTTTTCGGACCAACACATGGACACTAAAGTACTGATGCCTGGAATGAGGCCCTGAACATTTAACTGTTTTTGGAGAAAGGGTTTCTTTGTGCTGTTCTGGCTATCTTGAACCCTTTGTAGATCAGGCTGGCCTGGCCTCTGCCTCCCTAGTGCTGGGATAAAAGGAGTGTTACCACTGCTCGAAGAACAATTTAATTCAAATAACAGGCACTTTGTGGGCTAGTACCTTGCTTTAACCTCCCCCCCAAAGGATTTATTGTCACCCAAATGTACAATGGCAAATGTACCAGCGACTTAGAAATTTAAGAAAAAAAGAGGCCTGGAGAGATGCTCCTATCCTTCCATATGATCTGAGTTTGTTTTCTGGTACCCAAATTAGAGGTCTGACAACTGCTTGTAACACCAGCTCCAGGGAATTTAACACTTGCTTCTGGACTCTGTGGGCAGTGGGCAATGAGATATGACTCAGTGGGTAGAGGAGCCTGCCACCAAGTCTGATACCTGAGGATATCCAGGACCCATTTGGTGGAAAGAGAGAGCTAATTCTACAGGTTGTTTTCTTTTACAAGCACACTGTGGCACACACACACTTGCACACATACACATGCTAAAATGTTTTGTCATTGTTTTAAAGAGAAAGAACAAAGTTGGGTGGATAGGGAGGATCTGAGAGTAATTGGGGGAAGGGAAGCACAATCAAAATATGAGAAAAACTTTTGTCAATAAAAAGTTTTAAATATGTGTCACAAACAAAACTCAAAATGTAAGACTAGTGAGAAGCAGGCTGGAAAAAACCCAGTACTAAGAAATCTGCATGGGTCTAGAGAGATTGTTTATTGAGCAATCATGAGGACCTTAGTTTGGATTCCAGCACAGCTGGTGGCCATGTGAGAGGAGCAGCAGGTGGCAATTGAAGTTCCAGGGGTCAGTCCACCAGGAGGCAACTCCCTGATGGGTGAACCTCAGATAGGCAGGGCCCCTTGCTTCTGCTATGCCTTCATGTGTTTGCCACTGCTCTGTCTCTGGTATCCAGTATGGTGTGAATGGGTGTGGGGAGATCCCCACTGCTTGTATGAAATATAGTGTGTTTATCTCATGGAAACATCCAATTCTAATGGTTATTTTTACCTGTGGATTATTATGAAGATGATTCCTTCCTAAGCTGTACTGTCTAACTGATAATAGTAATGTTAGCTTATACAGAGTTTTGATGATAAAAATAAAACAAGGAAGTGTCACATAGCTAGAATACATGAATTTCTATTGAGGAGACACACAGACTATGGCTTAGGTTAATGATTAAGAAAAACAACTGAGTCCCAGTAGTCTAGCTAATTTAAATTCTTTTAACCTTAACCTTAACCTTGAGAGATGTGTTCACAGGTTTCAGAGTGCATCTTAGCTGAAACAAAGCTTTGAAAATAACTTAAGGTTTTGTCAAATAGCTTTGAGGTGAAAGACCCAAGAAGACAATCTAAAGTTTTAGAAAGGCACAGAGTTGAGTCAGGGACTCCTTAAAGTCAGGGAACAAGAACAGAGCAGCCCGATTATCATTACTTTTCTTGCTAGGTCTGGTTGGTGACCAAAAGGAGGTGATTAATTCCTTATATTCATTTCTGCCCTCCTTCAATCTCCTGATATAAAAAACTATTAATGAGTGTGTATGTACCCTAAAGATTTAAAGCAGAGACGACTGTCTTTTATGTATAAAAGTTTATGTTTGTACTAATGCACAAACTGACTTAGTGGAGCCCAATCTTTAAGGAGAGATACCTTGCCCAGCCTAGACACGGGTATGAGGGGAGGAGAGTGCCTTGGTCCTGCCTCAACAAGATGATGGGACACACTCAGTAGACTTCCTGGGGGAAGCCTTACCTTCTCTGAGGAGCAGATGGGAGGGTGGAGGGGGAGGAGAGGAAGGGGAACTGGGATTGGAATGTAAAAAAACAAGACATGGATGGAGGAAAGAGTCATAGTGACTGTGTATGCTTTTATGGCATGGATCTTTCAAAAAAATCACTGTATAAAATCACTGTATGTCCTTTCAACAGAGCACTACACAACATCCATGTGGGACTTGGCAGGGTGGGGGGTGGGGTGGGGGTTGGGGATGTGTGGGTGTGAGGTATATGTGTGTCCTGTTCAGCCAGAGTTCCTGCATGAGACAGTGAGCTACAGAACCTGACACCATTCCTTCTCAGCCAGCCCATCAGCTTGTGCATGTTTTGTTCACTTTCCTAGGAGTCTATAAAATCTATGAAATAAGATGCACCACAGCCATCTCGCTCTTGAATCCCTGTGGCAATATGGATGACAGAAGCAACTTAAACAGGCTTATTCTGCTTCATAAAAAAAAGAGAAAAAAGTTTAGGTTTGTGATTCCTTTTAAGATTACAAATAATTGGCCCTTCCTTTGTAACTGCAAAATGCAGCCTGTCAGTAAAAGACCTGAGAAGAGTATCTTTCTTGCCTACAAGATTAATCTATAACAAGTTGCTAGGGTATGAATGTATGTGGGTATTTGATGTAGTCATCCACTTGACAATGTAACCACATTGTAATTTTTATATTGTCTGAAAGATTTTGCTGGGGTATATAAGCTGTAAGGGAAAGAATAAAGAGAGTTAAAGTGAGTAAGAAGGAAAACATCTAGAGAGACAGAACAGACATTTCTGGATAGAGATAAATAAGCAAAGAGATTATTAGAACACAGAATAAAGAATATAGAAGAATAAAGAAGGAAACCATCAAGAGAGCATGTGTTTTTTCCCCTAACCCCCTTAGGTCAAAAAGTCTTAGTATGCACTAACTCCATGGATTCCCTTTGAGCCTGTCTATCTGGGCTTGCTGGGACTTCCTGTCTATCTGGTCTTCAGGCAAGCTTTTGTTAGCGTATAAACAAGATATCACCATAGTAATATTATAGACAGGCACCACTATACCTATGTAAGGGAAACAGCTTAAAAACTTTATTTAAAATGTGTATGAGGTGTTGGGCTCCCCTGTAGCAAGCAGTTATGAGCCACTCATAACTCTGGAAGAGCATACAGGTACTCTTAACTGCTGGTCATCTCTCCAGCCTCCACCTCTCTCTCTTTTTTGTTTCTATGGAACAACATTATCTCTCTATGCAGCCTTGGCTATCATGGCTGGCCTTTAGCTCTGAGTATCTCTGCCTACCTTTGCCACTTGAATGCTGGTATTAAAGGCATAAGCCACCATATCCAGCTAAATACTTTTAAATTTTATACATATGAATGTCTTACCTGCATGTATGTATATATATATCATATGTGTGCCTAGTCAGAAGAATGAGTCAGATCCCCTGGAATTGGCATTACAGATGATTGTGAACCACCATGTGGGTGCTAGGACTCAAACTCAAGTTTTCTGCAAGAACAACTGCTGAGTTATCTCTTCATCCTCCACCTAGTTTTTTCAGACATGATCTTTTTTGGGGCACAGGGTTCAAGGCAGGTTTTCTCTGGGTAGTCTTGGCTGTTTTGGAACTCTCCCTGTTGACCAGGCTGATCTGGAACTCAGAGATCTGACTGCCTCTGCTTCTTCCCAAGTGCTGGGATTAAAGCCACCAATTATCCTTGAGACCAGATTTTATCATGTATCCCAGGAGGTCACTATATAATTTACCTGTCTTTGACCTCATGGCAATGCTCCTGCCTCAACTTCCTGGTTACAACTGTCTGGATTACAGGTGCATGCCAGTATGTCTGGTTGGTTTGTATGCTTCTTTGTTTTGAGAGCTTCATGTAGCCCAGGCTAGCAAGCCCAACTTGCTGTATAGTTGAGGGTAACCTTGACCTTCTGATTTTCCTCATTAGTGCTGGGATGGTTTTATGTGGTTCAAGGGATTGAACCCAAGGCTTTATGCATGTGAGGCAAACATTCTATAAATTAAACTGTACCCCCAGCTCTAAATATTTTTTAAAAATATTAAATATGAATCATAATTTTGATTAAATGATAAACTTTTAGCATCTATATCTGACATTAGTGTTCTTTAAAAAATTAAGGACTGAAGAGATTGCTCTTGCAGAGGTCCTGGGTTTGGTCCCAGAACTCACATGGCAGCTTACAACCATCTGTAACTTCAGTTCCAGGGGACCTGATACCTTTTTACAAAATTTTCTAAGGTACCAGGTACACTTGTGGTACACTTATGTATATGCTGGCAAACACTTATATACATAAAATATAAATCTTAAAAAACTTTAAAGATCTTACTTTGAAAACCACCAAAGTACATTTTTTTCCTATGATTTATTTATTTGTGTATTTTATGTATGAGTGTTCTGTCTTCATGCACACCAGAATAAGGAATCTGATTCCATTACAGATGGTTGTGAGCCACCATGTGGTTGCTGGGAATAGAACTGGGGCCTCTGGAAAAGAAGTCAAGTACTCTTAACCAGAGCTGGTCTCCAAGATCTTACTTTGTTAATTATATGTCTCTTTGTGCGTGTATGTGCACATGTGGAAGGCCAGAAGAGGGCACTGGATTCCCCAGATTTGAAATGACAGGAAGTAGTGAGCTGACTGATATGGGTGGTAGAATTTTTGGCCTCTGGAAGAACAGCAGAGCTGGAGATGGCTTACCCACTGAGCCATTTCTCCAGCTCTGACATCAGTATTTTAACATTCTCTTTCACCCTGTACAAGTATTTATTTATTTATTTATTTATTTATTTTTTTAGTAGATTAGGCTGGCTTCAAACCCAGAGAGATCCACCTGTCTCTGTCTTCAGAGATCTGGGATTAAAGGTTTGCACCACCACCATCACCACCGACTGGCTAGTAGTTTTTAATTAACAGAGAACTAAGAGTACATTATATTAGCTATGTCTATGAAGAAGTAAGCAGAGAAAAAACACTAATTAAAAAAAAAAAAAGATTTTGGGGCTGGAGAGAAGGCTCACTGCTTAACAGTACTTACTGTTCTTGCAGGACACCTAACTGCAGGTCCCAGCATCTACATGGTGGCTCAGAACTGTCTGCTAATTCCAGTTCCAAGGGATCTGATGCCTTCTTCTGGCCTCTGCAGGCACCTGTGTGTACTTTGTGTATATAAACTTACAGGCAGACAGACGCACACATAAATTAAAAGAAAAAAATCTTAAAAAATAAAAAAAGATGTTGAAACTTGGAGAGTTATTTTTAGGAAGAATATTTTCTTGAGTTAAAAATTCTAAACAAGAAGTCAGAAAGAAATGTAATAGAGGAGTTGGAGAGAAGGCCCAGTGGTTAAAAACATTTGTGTTTTCAGAGGACCTAGGTTTGTTTCAAAGCACCCACGTAGTAGTTCAGAACTATCCTTTTAACTCCAGTTCCAGAGGATCCAATATTTCTTCAGACCTCCACAGGCACTAGGCACACACGGTGCATATATATATATATATATCTCCAACCAAAACATCTAAATGTATAAATCTAAAAATATTTTATAAATATTTTATAAATATATTTTATAAATATAAATAAAAATATTTTTTAAAGATATAGGGTGCTTAGTACTTAGCAGAATAAAGACACATCAAATTTATAAAGTAAGAGGGATTTATCATTACCAGGGGAAAAAGTTAGTGATTCCTCTGTTTTCCAACCGGTAAGATTCTAGAGACACTGTTTATAAACAATACTGTGTTGATAGTTAGAAGGAAGAAAATTAACAACAAAGACAAAAAATTGATATACTTGAATAAGACATCTGCAAATATTAGAACTTAACAAGGTAGAATCGACAAACAATCTGGCATTCAATTATGTTAAACAATTTGTTGCTTACAAAGCTTGGTTCTTCAGAAGAACTCAAGTTGACATGAAAGAGGCATATTATCAAAATACCCTACCTTTCTGCACTTGATAAGATGATAAGGGAACCTGCATGCCCTGATCTGGTGGTTTTTATCGTAGGGGCACTGTAATAACTTTTCAGGGTCCAGAGAGTCGACTGAAAGAAAGGAAAAAATACATTAAACAAAGTATAATAGGACCCTGTAAAACTATAGCAGCCTTTCAGATACATTAGTGTTTTCAATAAATCCACACTGAAAGAATAAGGCAGTCTAAAGAAAAGTTAAATTAAAACAAAGTGTGACTGGTCTTTAATCCCAGCACTGAGAAGGCAGAAGTAGGCAGATCTCTGAGTTTGAGGCCAGCCTGGTCTACACAGTAAGGTCTAGAACAGCCAGGACCACATGAAACCCTCAAAATCAAAAACAAAAAAACCCCCAACCCCCCCCCAAAATCAAACCAACCAAACAAAAAAGTTTGATTAAATGATAAAAAGTAAAACATAACTGAGAAAATATAATTGTGTATCACTGACTCTTAAGCATAATAGTACTAACAATGGCATGCTGAGGTCCCATTTACATTTGACTGAATATAGTTTTTATTCTTATTTTAAAACAAAAATGTTGCCGGGCATTGGTGGCCCATGCCTTTACTCCCAACACTTGGGAGGCAGAGGCAGGAGAATATCTGTGAGTTCCAGGCCAGCCTGGTCTACAGAGCTAGTTCCAGGACAGGCTCCAAAACAATACAGAGAAACCCTGTCTTGAAAAAAACCAACCAACCAACCAACCAAAAGGCATTCAAAGTGTCCCCCCCCCCTTTTTATGGTTTATCGATTAAAGGTGTGTGCCACCACTACCATGCCCTTTTCCTTTCTTAAAGGTAAGAATTTGGGATCATTTCTATTCTCTAGCTACTCCAAACAAGCTAGACAAACCCAACTAGCACACTAAAGGTGTAATGAATTGCTGATGTACCAATGTAACCATTGTGGCCTATGGATTCTACTCTCCCAATCCAGCTGACCCTATGGCAAGTTGAGGTTAATTAGCATCCTTGTCTATTTCTAGTAAACAAGTTGATAGCCATAGTTTCAATAGCATGTTCTATGGGAGAAGTATTAATAACTAGAGCTTTTCCCCAATCTCTTCTTCACTTTACTCCTGTGTGTTGTATTGGTAGCTCTAGTTTCCTTATCCGTGATTTTATTACTTTTGTCAGATAGGTGATTTTACTTTTCATGTTTTGGAACACAGATGAGAAAAAAAAAATTCCTTAATCTAATGACCAGCCAGCTAAAATAAAAACAAACTGCAAAGACAGAGCTTCCCACATCTAACACAACTGTAGACATGGACTGATGTGTCAATAAAACCCTGAGCCAGCTATTCAAAACTGCCCTTAGGCTATCCAAGCTGCCTTGGCTGTGCCCCCAGTCTTAACAACCCTGGTAAAGGAAAGGAAATCAAATAGTTAAGTACATTCTGAGAGCAAAAGGCAACCCAATAAAACATTCTTGCCACCTCTTGAAGGTAATGATAGAAGTAAAATAAAAAATTCACCTTTGATAAGAAGCTTAGAAACCTGAAGACTGCAATGAAAATCAGAAACAGAGGGGAATTGAAACAGACAGTTTCACTGGAAGAGTAGTAAACATGGAATAAATGGCTAACCATTGTCGTGATGCAAATGAGCCTGAAAGGTGATCTGAAGGACAGAGCAAATAGCGAGGAAAGTGTCCTAGAGGACAGGCATGCTATTATGCCAACTGAGCTCTTCTTAGCCAGCAATCTTATCTTATTTCTAAACCTTCGGAACACCAGGGAGCATTCAGAGATGAAATTCTTATTAGTTTTCCTTGATTTAATCCATTCCATCACTAGCAAATGTCAGCAACTGACAGAATGGAGGTACTCTATGATTCATACATATTATAACTGCCCATGTAGAGCACGAGTCAAAAGTTGATAATGAGAACTACCATATGCTTTACTTCTTGGTTTGGCAATACAGGTCAGCTCTAATCTACTGCTTTACACTGAAAAGAATTTCCTGCTGGTCAGTGATGGTGCACACTTTTAATCCTAGCACTTGGGAGGCAGAGGCAGGTGGATCTCTGTGAGTTCAAGGCCAGTCTGGTCTACAGAGTGAGTTTCAGGACAGCCAGAGAGCTGTTACACAGAAAAACCCTGTATTGAAAAACAAAAACAACAACAATAAAAAAAAAAAAAAAAAAAAAAAAGAATTTCCATCCATCCACCCATCCACCCATCCACCCACCCACCCACCCATCCATTTTGGTGTTGGTGACCAAATTATTGGTCTTGAGAATGTTATGCATTCTCACTTTATCACTGAGCTACATCCCAGTTTTTGTTTTTATTATTGTGTATATGGTATGTGTGTAGACCAGAGGATAACTTTATGGAGTTCTACTTTTATATAAATTCTAAAATCAAACTAAGGATGTCAGGCTTATATGGCAAGCACTTTACTGCTGAGGCATTTTACTGACCTGTTGGTTTGTCTTTTGATAATCTTGCTGTGAAGCTCATGCTGGCCTAGAAGTTGTGATCCTCCTGACTCAGCTTCCTTTGAGTTGGGATTTTAGTTGTGTACCATTACAGTTGGTTCTTATAATCCAGGCAAACCTGGCCCCACCCCTTGGGGGCCTGGCAAAGTGTGTTCCTCTGCTCACATGGCAAGCAGTACTCTGACTCTGTATGCAGGTGCAAAGGTCCCTTTAAGAGGCAAACTCTGCCTACTTCCTCTCTCTCTCTGCCTTTTCTCTGAGAAGGCAGGTACCTGGCTGGCTGGCTGGCTCTCTTTCTCTCTTCCCTTCCCTCTCCCCAATAAACTTTCCACATTAAGTCCTGTCTGATGGTGTAACTGTCTCTCACCTGCCATTTGTCTGTCACCCACCATGGAACCCTTCCAAGGTCTACCTTTCAACAAATCATAACAGTTCTCATAACTCTTAATTTTAAAGTGGTTTGTTTCAGACCATTTGTTCAGGGTGGTATGGCTGTGGACTAAAGTTTCTTATTTAAATTTGAATATTTATTTTTAAAACAATTTTTAAAAATCATTTATTTTCATTTTGTGTACATTGGGGTCTTGCCTGCACGCACATCTGTGTGATGTATGTGATCCCCTGCAACTAGAGTTTCAGACAGTGCTGCCATATGGGTGCTGAGAATTGAACCCGGGTCCTCTGGAAGAGCAGCCAGTGTTCCTTAACCACTGAACCATCTCTGTAGCCCTAAAATTTGAATTATTTCCATACTTCAACACCTCATAGACCTTCCTTTTTTCAGTTTTCACAGAGAAATCTGATTTTTTTTTTTTACAACATACAGTCTAGTTAGGCATCAAACTACACATAAATGATGCATTATTTTCTAAAAGCAGTAAGTAGTACATACTGTAAGTGTCTTCCATGCTGATGGCAAAGGAGTCCTGTTCAAGTGCTAGAAGGAAAAACATGGTTCAATCAGAAATGAAATGCATCAAAAGGCAGCCCCTGTGATGATATTTTGTTTCTGATCTAACAAATAAAACTTGTCTGAAGATCAGAGAAGCAAAGCAGCCAGCTAGCTCTCACCTCTACTACAGACCAACTCTACTACAGACCAAAGGGGTAATTCTGTTTCCATGATTCCTCAGACTGAATCTCAGACTGATTGCCTCTGGCTGACTGCCCAGACTGCCATGAGCTCCTATCCCCTCCACCTTATACTCCTCTTTCTGCCCAGCCATATGCCTTCCTGTCTCTACATCCCTAGCGCTGGGATTAAGGGCATTATCATTCCAAGTGCTGGGAACACTTCTGTGTGAGCTCTGCTTCTCTTTTAGACTGGATTAATTTCATGTAGCCCAGGGTGGCCCTGAAATAACAGAGGTCTGTCTGCCTCTACCTCCTGAATGCTGGGATTAAAAGTGTGTGCCACCTCTGCCTGGCCTCTATGGCTAACAAGTGTAGCTAGCTTTGCACTCTGATCTTCAGGAAAGCTTTGTTAGATCATAAACAAACAAAATACCAACATACAGCCCTAAGATGTAGAATCATTCCTGGAACTGGTGCTGCCCAAGTTCAATAAAACAAATCCTTAGTACATATATAACCTCTTCCCTAAACATTTCTTTTCTTTAAAGCATTCTTTACTCCTATGACTAATTTTAGCATCATTGCCTAATTAATATTCTTGGAATTAACTCCAGAGCTCACAAACAGCTAGATCAAATATGACTACTGACACAAACTATATTCAAATGAAAATGTAGCAATGTCCTTTAAGTGGTATTACAATACCTGGCACCGTTTACCTGTTATTAGGGCTTAATGATATTTAACATCAGTAATAGGGGGTAAGTCAAGGCCATAAAAAACCATTATTTAAAATTCCAGATAAACTACTTTAAAGCTCTTCTTTCCAGTGGGAGTGATGGCTAAATGGTTAAGAGCTCTGGTTGCTCTTGCAGAGGATCTGGGTTTGGTTCCCAGCACCCACACAGCTTACAAGTGCCTGTAACTCAGTTTTAGGGGATCAAATGTCCTCTTTGGCCTCTGTGGGCAACACATGCCCATGGTACACACAAACACATGTAAAATAAAATAAATCTTAATAACCATACCAATGTTCTCCCTTTCTAGCAATACTTTTACTCTGTTCCTCTCATTTCTTATACAATGGCAAGATGAGTACTACTCCAGCCATTACGATTACCTCTCTGAATTTAGGGTTTAAGAACTCACAGAAAACATGTATGAGGACAAATATAACATAAATGAAAAACATTAAAAGAGAAAATGTCTCAGTCTGAATTCTCTTTTACTGGAGAGCTCTATTGAACACTGGTTTAATTTACTTATTATTATGGGAAAACTAATTTTGTATATAACCACTCCCATAGAATCTTCTGAAAATTGGATGCACATACAGCTGTTGTCTCTAGGCAAGCTCTCCTTTGGCCTCTCACACAATTCCACACCCCTTCCCCCCCATTCTATGACATAAGCAGCATTAGAACCTTTGTTAGGAAATACAGGTGATCAGCCAAACTTCAGTTTAGTACTGTGCTGCAGGGCCCATTTGTTAATGACAATAATTAGGGAAACCATCTGAAAATTGTTCATGTTTGAATTAAACTATCCTGACCTTTTAGAACCCCTACTACAGTTGTCATATTTTGTTAATAATAATAATAATAATAATAAAAGTTATGGAAATAAAAACCAAGCATTGTGTGTTTTGATTTTAATGTATGTAAGAGTGATATGTGCAGTATTCAGCAACTTAAGAGAGACCACCTATTCTTTCTTAGCAAACAGACTGATTACAAGTAGATAAAAAGTGCTGGAATTCATCACCCAGCTGTCTCTTATCTTCCCCATCAAATTGTTAACAGGTGATTCAGTACCAGGCAGCTGTGAACTGAACCAAGTGTGAAACTGATGCTACTGTTTAAACCCTGGAAAAAAAAAAAACAAAAAAAAACTGCAGATCTCCGTAAAGTAGTAATTTCTCTCCCTTTACACAAAAGCCCCCGGATTCAAGAAGATTCAAGCTAGCGGGGGAAAAAGGAGCAGGCAACGGGGAGGAGGGTATCTTGAAAACAAGGTAGAAAAAGATGCCAGCCAGGCCGTCGAGTGGACGATGGCCGACGCAAGGGTGGCCGGGGCTCAAGGCAGGGGAGTGAGGGAGGGCACTACCTGGAAGGTATCCCACACGTGGACTGCTTCTGAGGGCCGACCCCAGCCAACACCTACCCACTTTCTTCTTTCCTACCTCAGTCCAGACGCTCTCCCCACTGCCGACTTCGCCTCACAGCCAGGCCCCGGCAACGCCCACTTCCGGCCTGATGCCAGGGCGGGGCCGCACTTCCTGTGACCGTGGCTTGCGCTGGCCCAGTGCAGCCAGGCCAACAGCTGTGATGCTTTCTCTGTTTGGCTCACGCTCCTGCTATCAAGGCTATCTCTTGGGGTATCTTCTGCCACTTTACTTTTAGCCACCACCCCTCCTCTACTCCCTGGCCAAAATAGTGGTACATGGGTGGAGAGCTTCCTTTGTCAGCTTTGGGGCGGCCATCTTAGAAAAACTAGGGAAAGAATAGGACTTGTCGGAACTGGGTGCTCTTTACAAGAAAGCCTTGCTTATGGAAGTTGTTGAGACAGAAATGTCATTTAGATTTTGAGAGTTCAAAAGAGGAATGATGGAGACAAGTACAACAGATTAAGAAAAAGGAGGAGACACAAAACACTTTGTTCAGGAAACACACCTTTCCAAAACTGTATTTGTATACCTGCTTAAAACTATAAATACTTGTCCCCAAAGTACTCAGGACTGATGGTCGAATGGGAGTACAACATATGCCAGGAAGTGGTAAAGACTAAATTCCTATAAAGGAATTAGTAGGGCCTGAGATGACCCGGGAAAGCATTAGGGAGAAAAAATGATTTATACTATAAATTTTATAGCCTTTGAAAAGGTGTTGACATTGTGGACAGATTTGGTGACAATATTTTAAAAATAACAAGTTGTAAAATATGTTGTATGACAGAAAATTTTGTACAGTCCAAAGTTTAGTTGTAGAAGTTGGCTAGCTGCTAAAATACTGGGGCTTCTGACATGTTTCAGTGATAGAGCCTAAATACAGTTTGAGAGGATCATCAGGATAGCAAAAACAAGGTATCGTAGGTGAATAGGGGCTTGGGAGTGGGACATTTTATTTTTCCATGACTAAATGTAAATAAATTACCAGCCGTGCTCCCCTCCACAGGATGAAGAGTCAATGCTTCATAGTTTTCAGTACAGAATAAGACCTTAAAAGGAACTGGGGAGTAGAGGCACAAGCCTGACATCTCAGCACGTGGGATGCTGAGGTAAGAGGATTGCCACAGGTCTGAGGCCAGCTGGGACAGCCTAAGCTACAGAGTGAGCCCCTGTCCTGCCTTGTCCTGCTTTGGTGGGGTGTGGAGTTCAGGTCCCAAAGAGGATGTGTGGGGGAGAAGGAGGAGACAGACACGATCTGAGGGTGAATCAATGTGACTGCCAGCAGCTATTAACTGAGAAAAGATTCTGTCTTTTATACTATATAGTTGCACATAGGATTAAACAGGAGACAAGGGGCATGTGAGCTGAGGCCTAGCTTGAGTTCAGGGGTTGAGGATTCTAGCATTGACCTTGACAATAGGCACCAGTCATATGTTAATGAAAGGACCACCAACCAATCAACCAAAACCCTAAAAAGAAACAGTTTGTGAATAGGTGATGGGCTCAAGTCATTTTTGTTGCAGAATTGTTTTTTTTCTAAGATTTATTTATTTATTATGCATATAATAGTATTCTGCCTGCATGAAAGCACACCCAAAGACAACAGATCTCATTATAGATGGTTATGAACCACCATGTGGTTGCTGGGAATTGAATTCAGGTCCTCTGGGAAAGTAGCCAGTTCTCACAACCCTCTGAACCATCTCTCTAGCCTCAGCAGGATAATATTTCTTAATCATGTCTGCTCATTAGAATCTTCTGGGGAGTGCTTAAGACACACCATGTAGCTGGGTAGTGGTGTTCCCACCTTTAACACCAGCACTTAGAGGCAGAGGCAGGTGAATCACTGCATTTGAGGCCAGCGTGGACTACAGATCAAGTTCTAAAACAGCTAGGGCTACATACTCTGAGAAATCCTGTCTAGAAAAACCAAAAAAACCAAAACCAAAACCAAAAAACTCACAGAGATCTGCCAGCCTCTGCTGGGATTAAAGGCGTGCACCAACACGGCCCAGCCTATGTATAGTTATTTTTAAAGAACTTACCCAGATGATTCTAATGTGTAGCCAGACTAAGGAACACTGACCTAGGCACTGTCTTGAATTTGCAGAAGCATTTCTTTCACCTGGATGGCCTGGATGACTCATAGGAACAAGCTGTTAGATGCTTTTTCAGAGAGAAATTGCTTTATTGTGAATTTAGCATAAAGCATTTAGGAAGAGATGGCTTTGTCTTTTTTTTTTTTTTTTTTTTTTTTTTTGCAAGTTCGCTCTAGATAATTAGGAAAAGGCTTAAAACAATCTTTTTTGTTGTTGTTTTTGAACTCACTCTGTAGACCAGGCTGACCTTGAACTCACAGAGATCTACCTGCCTCTGCCACCTGAGTCCTGGGATTAAAGGCATGTGCCATCACTGTCTGACTTGAAAGCAATTCTTACGAGATTTTGAATTTATCACCATGAAGAATTAGTGGTGCCAGAGTGGTTTAAACTAATCCTCTCCCCCGTCCCCCCAGATCTGGTACAATTTTTGTCACTGTTGCTATGACCCATAAGTACTTTTCATTTCAATATTTACAGATTGAAATTTCTGAGGAAGAAAGAGCCAAGGGCTTGAGAGAATGGAAGCAGGGAGCTCTTCCAGACCCCCAAGTAGGTTCCACTGTAGTCACTGATGCCTTGTCAGGTGGCAGGGTTCTTAGCTGACAGAGCTGCTCCATTTAGCACCATGGGACAAGCCCACTGACTCACAAACAAAAGCCGAAGCTGTCCTAGTGGTGATTTGGAAATAAAGATGCATCCCACATCTGTTCCTTCTGTTCTTCAGTGCTTTGTTCATTCCCTTCCAAGCAAAGACATTGATGCCGTGCTTGAGATCCCTGCTGAGATTCCTTTCAGCCCAGCCCCACTTTTTTTTCTGCCCAGGTTGATAACATTTGAAAACAAAACACAAAAAATTAATGAGACCAAGTAATTTACACAAAGTCATTCTAGGAGTTAGCTGAGATTACTATCCAAAACTGAGTCTGGTCCTTGCTGGTTCCATCTGTGTATATACTATGGTCCTTATAATATATATGATATATATGTATATATATGTGTATGTATACATGTATATATATGTATATGCATGTGTATATACATTATAACTTATAATAGATAAAAATAAAGCCAATGTTTTAATAAGTCTAATGAGCAATAAGAATTCCTGAAATTCTTCCGAAGCATCCAGTGTTCTATGGATTAATGAGATGACTCTGGGTAAGTGACTTGCTGCCAAGCCTGATGACCCAAGTTAATCCCTGGGATCAACTCCTGAAAGTTTTACTCTGACATCTACATGTGCACCATGACATGCATGTGCACACACATGCAAATAAATATAATAATATTAATAAAAAGAATCTTTTAGGGTTTCAGAAAACCTAATAAACTCCCACGCAGCAGAAGACTAAGCATGTCTTTGTTTCTTGAATTTTATTGAATCCTGGTTCTCTCATCTAATTATGATTTCTGATTGGCAGTTAAGTATATAGTTAAACAGAAAATTATTCCATAGATGTAGTTGAAGAATCTGTCAAAATTAGGGCTTGTAGAGCTGAGGAGATTCCTTGTGGGTAAGATGCTTTTTCTCAAGCATGAAGCCCTGAGTTCATATCCTTAGCACTCATGTAGTAGCCCTCTACGTGTGTGTGTGTGTGTGTGTGTGTGTGTGTGTGTGTGTGTGTGTGTCTAGGTGTAGAATGCTTAAGATCTATTTCAGGTAATACATTTTTATGAAGTATAGCTGCCATATTTTACATTAGATCTTTAGAACTAACAATCTATACTTGTAGGCTTCCATCAATATCTCTTTACTTCTCCCCATACAATTTCTAGTGTCTCAGAATAGATCTTATCTGACTTGAGAATGGGTGTGCTTTGCTAATGTTGCAGCATCTGTAAGAAATCATCTACCTTGTAAGGGTGTGTGAGGCAATATGAGACTACAATACTTGAAGCTTTTTCTCTCCTTACTTTATATAGCAGCTGCTTGGAAAGCCTGCACAGGAGTATAGATAGACCACAGGAGTGATGATGTGGTACCAATGAGGTATGTTCCAGAGCAATAAGAGATGGAGAATGCTCCCTTCTCCCATTTATATTGTGAATGAAGAGTTGCAAGCTGATAACCTGACTTCAAGCAAGAAACTTTGTAGCTGGTAAGTCTTGTTATTATTCTGTTGTGAAAAAATCTTTTCGTACACTGTGAAGATGTGCCTTTGCCAAGGCACTTTCTGATTGGCTTAATAAAGAGCTGAATGGCCAATAGCTACACAGGAGAGAGAGCAAGAGGAGAAGGAATCTAAGTACAGAGAGACATCAGTGAGACTCAGAGAAAGTCAGACATATGGTACAGAGGAAAGATAACTGAGCCACGTGGCAAAACGTAGATTAATAAAAGCAGGTTAATTAAGTTATAAGAGCTAGTTGGGAAAAAGCCTAAGTTAAAGGCCAAGTTTTGGTAATATTAAATATCTGTGTTGTTATTGGGGAGCTGGAGGTCTTACAAAGGAAAGTCTGACTACATTTGCGAAAGCTTGCTACATTATTCCATTGATATAACTTACCTTGGTGGAAGTTTTTGAAAAAAAAAATTAAAGAAACCTGTCACCAAGAGTTTTGAAAGGCTGATTTATTTATTTATTTTAAAAAGAAATTAATTTTATTTTATGTGCATTGGTGTGAAGGTGTCAGGTCATCTAGAACTGGAGTTACAGACGTGAGCTCCATGTGGATTCTGGGTCTGCTGTAAGAGCAGCTGGTGCTCTTAACCTGAAAGGCTGATTTATGAGAGAAATATTTAGCCCAGAGTACTGAGTCTCTTTTTTACCTCATCATGTCTATAAAGGGTTCCTCACATTCAACAGTTTTGACTGTGGGCTCAGAATCATGCCTGTGTTAAAAATATCCCACAGTTTAATGATAATAAAGTAGAAAGAAAAGCTTTATAGAGATATGTGCTATTTGTTACCAGAGCATGTGGGCATAGTTAGAACATTGGGGGATTTGAGAAGTTTTGAAGAAATTACATTTATTTATTTATTTTTTTGAGTGAGATATCTCTGTGTAGCCCTAGCTGTCCTGGAACTTATTATGTAAACCAGGTTGGTTTAGAACCCAC